GGTGGGAGGGGTGCGGGGCTGGGCCAGGGAGGGATGGAGCTGGCTAGGCGACCGTGGCGAGCACGGGGCGAGGGGGTCCAGCTTGGCTGCCGGTTCCAGGTCCCTCGGAGCCCGCTTTGCGGCCGCGGAAGGCACCGCGGATCGCGGGAACCCGGCGGGAGGACGAGGCACTGCAGCCGCACTGGCGCGCTCGGCAGAGGGCGGCTCCCGCGCGCACGCGCCTCCGCCTGCCCCGCCCCCTCTCCATGGGAACCGCGGGCCGCAGCCCCCCATCGCACCGGCCCTCTCCTCTGGATCGCAGGGCTGCCTCGGGCTGTAATGGGGGAGTTGGGTGATGCGGAGGGGCTGCTGATCACATACCCAGAAACCCCTCTCCCACTTAACACCAGCTCCTCACGATGTCTTGGACACTCAAAGGCCGCCTTTATCATCTTGTCCCTTCAGTTCCTAGTCCCGCGCTTCTGGGGCTCCATCCCCATAACCACCTACCCGCAAGGTCCCCACGTTCCTCAGGACATAGCCCGCACCCCCCCCCCCCCCCCGGCCGCAGTGTGCACCTGGCCCAGCCTCCTCCTGGGTCACCCTCCAGCCCGAGGTCCAGGAGGCCCCTCCTCCACCACGTAGGCAGCTCCCCCAACAGCGCCCGCTCCCTGCCGCCAGGCTCTGCAGGGTCCCCTCCCCGCAAGCGCCCTCACTCTCCTCTCTGCAGGTCCGGGTCCCGCTCAGCCCTTAGCCTGTCTGCACCTGCGGACAGAAAGTGCCCACAGGCTCCCTGCGAGGCAGGAATGGGGCTCACCCCGTGACTTGATAGGTGCTCTTTAAGCTGCCTGCTCCCCGCTTGGGGACGCTGGATACTGGCCTGCCGTAAACGCCAGATCTGGGGATGTCTTGGCACCGGACGAGGCTGGATCAGATGTGACCCCGGGACCCCCAAGCAGGCCTTCCCTGAGCCCTCTGCTGCAGTGCCCAAGCTCATGCTGTGGCCTGGGCGAGCACTGGGGATGAGGGGACCTTGAGCTTGTGCCTGCCATGTCCTTGGCCGTGGGTCCCGGCTGCGGGGCAGCGCCCACTCCTGGCTGCCTCACCCACCGGCCACACTCAGCCCTGGCTGAGGAGGACACTCACCGGGGCCCACCCCCGCCACCGCACAGCCGGGCAGGGACCCTGGCCGTCCTCCGGGGCCTGCACAGCCCTCTCATCTAGCTTGCCCACCCACCCATCTCTGAGTCATGGCGTAGCCCACGAGGCCCACAAGATCGAGTGGTCCTGTTCCCTCTGCTGTGTCCACACGATGTCCTGGCAAGGGGACACAGTGCAGGCCGAGTGCCCATCCCACAGGTGGCACAGACAGGTAAGGTCGGGCCAGCACAAAAGCAGACTCAGAACGGTGCAGGGAACAGAGC